AACCTTGTAGTGTTTGGGCTGGGTGGGTGGTTAGTCGGCCTCTGACAGGCCTGGCCTAGAGCCACTGTACTGGGACCCCCAATAACCTTTTTGTCTACTATTCATGTAGTCCCCTTGCTAAAGGCCTTCTGGCCACACACAAAGATCCAGAGCCCAGTGAAGGTTTCTAATCTACCTGTCCTTGATTTAGCCATACTTTGTATTCAGATTAAAGACAGTAGAGAGGTCACCAGAGTGGCCTATCAACATTTTATTATGGGGCTCCATGAACTGTAGTTATGCCTCTGTACCGAACGTATTTTGGGGCCAAGAAGTGAGGGAAAATATAATCAACTGGGGACACAGACAGAAGAAGAAGATGATGTTTTTACCTATCTCCAGTCTCCTCAAACCTAGAAAAAAAGCAATGACTGAAGTTCCACTTTACGTTTCCCTACAAGGAAATCCTCAAAGCACTCACTGACAAATCTAAAAAACATGATATCAGTCCTTTAACCACTTCCCGACCGGCCGTTGCATATAAACGGCCAGACGGTGGCACTGCAGGGTCGGGTGGCCATTTATAAACGGCCTCCCCGCACCCTGCTTGTGCGCGCAGCCACCGCGATCCGGTGCCCGCTGTGTCCTCCGGACAAGGTGAAACACCGATCGTCAGACGGGACCTCTGTACGAGGTCCCGATCATGTGATCACTGATTTGCTAATCAGTGATCACATGCAAAGTAGTAAGCAAGATGTCACTTGTGACATCATTGTTTACTACGTGTGAAATCTGTGAATGATCACAGAGGTCACATGGTACAAGGCTATTCACAACAGCCTTGTACCATGTGACAAGCTGTGACCAATCACAGCTCACTCAGTACTTCTCAATGAGTGCAAGAATGCAGACAGAGAGAAAGAGAAATGATTGCTTTTACATGCTATATGGGTGTAAAAGCAATCAGTGTAAAAAAAAAAAAAAAAAAAAATCCTCATCACCCCCCACAAGTAGTACAGTGTCACCATGGTGACACTGTACTGCTAGGGTGACAGTATGTAAAAAAAAAAAAAATTATATAAAAAAATAATATAAAAATGTAAAAAAAAATGTTTAAAAATTATAATTTTTGGTTATAAACTAATTTGGATTTTTTTTTTTTACTAAAAAGATAACGGAATAAATTTTGGCCAAGATTTATGATGGAATATTATTTATTTGCAAAATTTAAAAAAAAAAAAACACTTTTTTTTTCAAAATTTTGGGACTTTTCCATTTTACATAGCAAAAAAAATAAAAATCCCAGCGGTGAATAAATACCACCAAAATAAAGTTTTATCTGTCTCAAAAAAATGTTAAAAATTCATTTGGGTACAGTGTTGCATGACCCGCGCAATTGTCATTCAAAGTGTGATAGCGCTGAAAGCTGAAAATTGTCCTGGGCAGGAAGGGGGTAAAAGTGTCCGGTCTGGAAGTGGTTAATGTTCACAGCTTGACCCTTTCTTGTACCTTGGCAGGTCAGACAGCACTGCACATCGCTGTCATGCGTCAGAATGTGGCTATTGCTCAAGAGCTGATACGGAATGGTGCCAACCTGTCCATGCCACGGGCAATTGGAACGTACTTCCAGCTCAAACCCAACTCCTTCTATTATGGTGAGTCAGCACATGCTTTCCTGTTTCTGCCCAAAACTGATATTTCTGTTATAGATTGACAGCAATCCTAAAATCTATATTAACTGTAACAATGAACTTCTTTTATTTGCTCCCTTTTGGTCTATTAAAAAACACCATTTAAAGTGATTTGTTATATCTGTATCCCTGTGTTGAGTTTCTGGGTCTGCACACTTGCTGTGCCCAATATGGTCTCCTACCATTCCTGATGGATGTTTATTTTCTTTATTATATTACATTATTTATAATATTTAGATTCTGTAGAATGAAACAGGAGGAGCGGGACCAGGGGCGGACTGACCATTTGGAAACTCGGGCACTGCCCGAGGGCCCGGGGTCAATAGGGGGCCCCATGAGATGCCCCTGGTACCTTTTTCATAGGCTTTTTTGAGTTTGGGCAAGGACACAGGGGGGCCCCATGATCCCCTATTGCCCGGGGGCCCCATGAGTTGTCAGTCTGCCCCTGAGCGGGACACACAAAGGTGGACGGAACCCCCCAAACATCCAGGTGGACAAGAAACTAACTGGGGAATTATGGCAGGGAGGTCTGATACTCCTGTTGGACAGGGGCGGACTGACAACTCATGGGGCCCCCGGGCAATAGGGGATCATGGGACCCCTGTGTCCTTGCCCACACTCAAAACCACACCCAAAAAAGCCTATGAAAGGTACCAGGGACATCTCATGGGGCCCCCTACTGACCTCGGGCCCTCGGGCGGTGCCGAGTTCCCCAATGGTCAGTCCGCCCCTGCTGTTGGAGTATTTAGGATATGTAAGATTTGATGGTTTGACATCTTGCACCAATTGCCAACATGCAAAATATCACATTTGGATGGACCGACCTTTTATTTCTCCCATGACCACAGATTCCCCTGAGCTATCTTGCATTTAAAAGTCCTGACAATCTAAAGGCAATTTTTTTTTCCTTCAGGCTTTTATTAGTGTGTGTGTGCCTATTATGGAGCCGTTCTTCCTTTTTTACATCTCAGTTCTGCCTCCTCTTTGCGACCATTCGCTGTCTACATGCACACATTTTCAGGGAGGGTTTTCTGATGGTGCCAGCAGTAGGCCACGCCTGTGTAATGTGTCTTGACACTGCCACTTTTAGTCTCCATTGGAAGCTTGTGTGACAAATACAAGAAGAACATTGGAAGACCAGAACAGGGCATTGTCAGACTATGACAGGAAGGACCTGAACAAGAATCTTCATGGCAGGTACACAAGTTATTATTTTAATGAAAATGAACCAAATAATGTCCTGAACTTGTGCTAGCAAAAACAGAAAATAAATAAAGACTGCTGCATCCACTACACAATCTAGGTTTTAGATGTAAGTCCTCCTGCATACGGGACGTTTTTACAGCGGCTGTTTTTGGCTTTTGACTTTTTTTTTTCTACAGCCAGTAAACCCCCCAGCCAGGGGCGGACTGACCATTTGGAAACTTGGGCACTGCCTGAGGGCCCAGGGTCAGTAGGGGGCCCCATGAGATGCCCCTGGTACCTTTTCCATAGGCTTTTTTGAGTTTGGGCAAGGACACGGGCCCCATGATCCCCTATTGCCTGGGGGCCCCATGAGTTGTCAGTCTGCCCCTGCCCCCAGCATGTTATCCTATGTCTCCATGCACATAGACTGTAATCAACGTTTTTGGCTGAAAACAAAAAAACAGGACTAGTGGGTTTCTAGAGGAGTTTTTTTAGCTGTAAAAACACTCTAATGCTGAAAAACGTAGCAAAACACAGTAAATCGTGGTAAAACGCCACAAACTGATGTTTTTCTACTTTTTTAATATACACTTTTTAAAATGTTTTTTTCTATTTTGAGAGTGGAGTACTGGGTTATATCACAAACTTGGTTAAGTTTGCATGTTTTTTGACATGTTTAGGCATCTAGCTTTAATTATGGTCCATGAACACATTTGTCCATCTGTACAAATTTACACTCTTCTAGGTTTATTTTTTATATTGAAAGTTGATTATGGTGTTTTGGCACAACCTTATTTGTGATTGATCGTTATATTTATTTAGGTTATTGCGTATATTGAGCTCACATTATCAATTTTCTCTGTAATAATATGATTTGATACACAGTAGTTATATTGTATGCACACTACACTTTGGATTTTTAAAGAGACAGAGCATAATTTTTTTAAAGTTTATTTTATTAAAAATCAGTAGATTTAATATGAATATATTATAAGTCTGTAGATAATAATAATAATAATAATATATATATATAATAAATATGTTATATATCATATTAAAATTACAAAATATAAAAAAATTAAATTACATGAATATTAAAGCTTATGTAGTGCCCTCCTAGTTAGCCAGAGGAAGCTAGCTAATAATTTTTTTTATGTAGGAGGCTGCGTAGCAGCTAGGAAAAATAGTCAGAGGGGGTCAAATTTGGGTCAGGGCTGAGAGGCTCTGCAGATTAGTACCCTGATACCTTCCCCTGATCTAGAGATTTGGAGAAGTCTCTAGAACTCAGTGGGTGGGGGTGAGGAGGAGCTGGTCTGCACTCTTAAGGGATTCTGACCAATCCCCAGGCAGGAGGCTTGGCATGGGGTCAGGACAGTCCTTAAAAAGTGATTGAGCCTACTCAGAGGCAGGATAGTTCAGGTGGAAGATGGAGTGAGCAGAATGGAGTGTGGAGCCTGGGAGGGGGTCCAGGAGAGGGGCCTACCTAGAAGCAGAGGAGCTGGAAGGGAGGATTTCTCAGTCTCACCGCCCCCTGAGAGAGGACAGCCTGTGAAGTAGGGAAGGAGCCAGCCCAGCGTAAGGCCTGAAGGCAGCCAACAACCCACATGTTTGCAGGAGAGGACTGAGTGAGTAATCCCACACCCCCTGGGCAGGATAAACTTAATAGGGCATTCGGGTAGTAAACCTGACTAGCCATCTGGGACAGCTGATCCTAAAGTGCTAGATTCTGGGTCCCATTGCCTGGGGATTCCCTCAGGCAGCTGAGTTAAGAGGAGATTTCATCTGGGGTCTGAGTTGGTACACCAGGAGAGGCTGGATAACTCTTCAAAGAAGAGAAACCCTTCCAAGCACTTGTACATAGTTCTAGGAAGATGTCCTCAGTTTAACAGTTCCCTGGGCATCCCATGTATCTCTCAACCCCATCAGAGTTATCAATTCCCCTAATAAAACATAAAAACAATTTCAAGGACTTTTTACTGTCTCTGGAGTGCAAGGGTGGAAGGAAATGCATGTTGCCTGGCTGTGCAGGACTATACGGGGACACCAAGCTTTAGCAGCTATAGGAGCTAGGTTTACATATACTTTTTTAGACCCTTTTTAAGACAAAGCATCAGAAGTAAAGAGTTCTTTATTATTATTTGACAGGAGAACACGTTCTTTCCTTTGCTGCCTGCGTGGGGAACGCAGAGCTGGTCCGAGTCTTACTGCAACACGGAGCCGATGCAGAGGCCAAAGATTCCCATGGTGAGGTTTATTACCCTGCTGTACAAAGTATTTTATTTTGTCACTACTTATACATCTGTCCGTTCCAGGGGCAGACTGACAACTCATGAAGCCCCGGGCAATAGGAGATCATGGGGCCCTCTGTGTCCCCAGCCCACACTCAAGCCACTCCCACACAAAGCCCCTTCACATAAACCAGTCTATATACACTTATTGGGATTTTTTTTTTTTATCAGAGACATGTAGCAGAATAAATCTTGACCTAAATTTATGAAGAAATTTAATTTTTTACATTTCTTTATTGGATATGTTTTTATAGCAGAAAGTAGAACTTTTTTTTTCAAACTTCTCAGTAAATAGAGTCCACCTGTGTGTAATTTGATCTCAGTATAAATACAGCTGTTCTGTGAAGCCCTCAGATGTTTGTTAGAGAACATTAGTGAACAAACGGCATCATGAAGGCCAAGGAACACACCAGACAGGTCAGGGATAAAGTTGTGGATACATTTAAAGCAGGGTTAGGTTATAAAAAAATATCCCAAGCTTTGAACATCTCACGCAGCACTGTTTAATCCATCATCCGAACATGGAAAGAGTATGGCACAACTGCAAACCTACCAAGACATGGCCGTCCACCTAAACTGACAGGCTGGGCAAGGAGAACATTAATCAGAGAAGCAGCCAAGAGGCCCATGGTAATTCTGGAGGAGCTGCAGAGATCCACAGCTCTGTTCTTAGGTCCTCAACCACTTGAGTCTCAAAAATAGCACCAGAAATCAGCAGTTCTCTCAGGTTCCAGCTGGGGGTGCAGCCAAGAACCAGCAGGAGCTTAAACAATTGGTTCCTGAGATTCTGGTCTTGCTATGAAGTGCTCCATAGGAGTGCTTATAGCAGATCGATGTACATACAATGTTTCCGCAAGGTGCTTGTATTGGAAGTCATGTGACATTTTGAATGATGTCACAACATTTCTTTTGAGTACAGAAGCTTGGACGGAGCTGTTACAGGGCTTCCTTGCAGTAGCAGATCACAGCTACAGTGATCTATTGCTGGCTGATTGCAGCTGCATAGAGGGCCTAGATCAGGTCTCCACTGACCAGACCCCCACCATGAAGAAAGAAAAGTGCACATATGTGCCAGAGGGCTCTCCCGGGATCTGAAGCCCTGCAACACATCTGTTAACATGCAAAAGGTCGGCAACGTAATTCATGTCTAGACACACTCTAAGTTACCAAAAAAAAAGATAAAAACAAGAAAATTTGATAGATGGTAGGGGGCGGGGGGTGGCAGGGAAAAATGAATGATGATTTTGGTGAAGGTCCTCTTAAAAAAATATATATTTGTACCGCTTATTACTCAATCCTACTTCTCTGATTTTTCTCCCTCTCTTGCAGGAAACACCGTCCTCCACATTCTGGCCTTACAACCCAACAAAATGTCTGCCTGTCAGATCTATGACCTCATCTTGGGCCATCACAAGGAGCAGTTTGGGCCCGGTTTAGAAGAGATTACCAACAATGATGGGCTGACCCCGCTGAAGATGGCGGCAGTAGAAGGTAACACCGTGGTATGTATATGGAAAGATCCATCCTCCATAGGAGAGGCATCCATTGTTATTGTAATATCAGGTCGCTTGGCAAGAAGTCAAAGTGGCCAAATTAATCCATAGTCATGGGTCAACAGTAAAGTATAACCCTGATGGGGGGAAATGTAAAGCAGGGTAAGAGTGCAGAGGACCTCAAAGAACAAAATTGGAAACATTATGGTATTTCTAGTCTCGGTTCCCACTACTGTGACCTGAAAATCCCGCAACTTACAGTGCGACTTTGCCATGCGACTTCCTGGCGACTTGAGGGCTACTTTGATATGACTTTGAAATGACTTTCAGGGAATGCCTGACTAATCTTCCTGTAATGCCGGATCTAAATCACATAAATGTAGATGAGGATCCGACTTGGAGGCAACTTCCATTAACCTCTTCCCATCCGGCCCATTGCCAATAAACGGCCAAAAACAGATCGCTGTATGGGACTTCTGTGTGAGGTCCCGATTCATGTGATCACTGATTGGCCATTCAGTGATCACATGAACAGTAGTAAACAAGATGTCATTTGCTGACATCATTGCTTACTACTTGTGAAATCTGTGAATGATCACAGAGGTCACATGGTACAAGGCTATTCACAACAGCCTTGTACCATGTGACAAGGTGTGACCAATCACAGCTCTCACAGTATTTCTCAATGGCTGCAGGAATGCAGCCAGAGAGAAGGAGAAATTATTGTTTTTACAGCCATTGCGAGTGTAAAAGCAATCGGTGTAAAAAAAAAGAAAAAAAAATCTTCATAAACCCCCACAAGTAGTACAGTGTCACTATGGTGACACTGTAATGCTAGGGTGACAGTATTAAAAAAAAAAAAAACAAATAATATAAAAAAATTAAATAAAAATGTAAAAGAAAAGTTTGAAAAATTATAATTTTTGATTATAAATTAATTTGGGTTATTTTTTTTTTTTTACTAAAAAGATAACGGAATACATTTTGGCCAAGATTTATGAAGAAAGATTATTTATTTGAAACATTTTATAAGAAAAACACTTTTTTTTTTCAAACATTTTGGACTTTTTCATTTATATAGCAAAAAAAAATAAAAATAATCTTAGTGGTGAATAAATACCACCAAAATAAAGTTTTATCTGTCTCGAAAAAATGCTAAAAAATTCATATGGGTACAGTGTTGCGTGACCGCGCAATTGTCATTCAAAGTGTGATAGCATTGAAAGATGAAAATTGTCCTGGACTGGAAGGGGGTAAAAGTGTCTGGACTTGAAGTGGTTAAGAAGGAAAAAAAAAATCTTTTTAGTGAACGGACTATACTAAAGTGAAGCGTGGGTGGCAGCATTAGTACACTGAGTGCTTTCTGCATTGTTTTGTTTAAAGCGGAACTACACTGTATCTGAGCACCGCAAACCAAAAGCGCTATTTAATTCACTTTTAATATTCAAAGCAAACTCCCCCATCCATCCATGTCTCCATGCTTTATTTTGCTGAGAAATCACTTAGTAAAACACCCCCTGGCATTTCTGGCAGTGGCCATCTTGAGTAAGGGCAGATGATTCATGTAGCATTTTACTTCCTGGAATCCATCTGCCCTTAGCTCAGGCATTAGCTGAGCTGAGAGCCCTCCCTCCACTCCTGAAGACATAATTTTGCCTAGGCATGGAAACTAGGATGTAAGTAAAGAAATGTAAAAAAAAAAAAGAAAACAGTTTAAAACAAGTAAATATACTTTCCTATCTATTTACTAATGCTGGCTTCATAAAGATTCAAAATAGTCAACGTTTATTGATATAGTGAAGTTCCACTTTAATGATCCTGACTTTGTATTGGTCTCTCTAGATGTTCCAGCACATTGTACAGAAGAGGAGACAACTGCAATGGACATTTGGTCCCATTAGCTGCTATCTTTATGACCTGACGGAGATCGATGTATGTGGGGATCCCAGGTCTGTATTGGATCTGGTGGTCTCTGCAAAAAAAAGAGAGGTATGGAAATATGTACGCATTCATGAGCGATCCCTTTTCAATTACTGCACACCCACATGTGGAAGAAAAATATATTTGAAATATATTTTAAAAATATTCTTCCCAAATATATTGACATATATTTGAAATGCTACAATTTTGGCCGTATTCAATATATTTCAATATAAAAAAAAAAATATATATATATATATATATTATTCAGGATTTATATAGCGCCAACAGTTTGCGCAGCGTTTTACAATATAAAGGAGACCGTGCAATTACAATACATTTCAGTACAGAAAGAATAGGAGGGTCCTGGAGCTTACAATCTAAAGGAAGGGGGAGGTGATACAAAAGGTGATAGCTGTGGGGGATGATCTTGTGGAGGTAATTCAAGTACAGTTCTTAGGTGGAGGTGGGGTAGGCTTTCCTGAATAAGTGAGTTTTCAAAGATCGTCTAAAAGCAGACAGGGTGGGGGCTGACCGGACATACTGTGGTAGGAAGATCCAGAGGATGAGAGAGGCTCTGGAGAAGTCCTGGAGGCGAACGTGAGAGGAGGTGATGAGGGAGCTAGAGAGGAAGATATCATGGGAGGAGCAGAATGGGCGATTTGGGCGATATCTGAGGATGAGGTTGGCAATGTAGCTAGGGGCAGTGTTGTGGATGACTTTGTAAGCTGTAGTTAGTATTTTGAATTGTATACGTTGGGTTACTGGAAGCCAGTGGAGGGATTGGCAGAGAGAGGCAGCAGCCACTGATCAGTTGGTAAGGTGAATGAGTCTAGCAGCAGCATTCATAATAGACTGAAGGGGGGATAGCCTGTGTAAGGTAGACCAGTGAGGAGGGAGTTGCCGTAATCGAGGCGGGATAAAACCAAGGTGTGGATAAGTTGTTTTGTGGTGTCATTGGTCAGGAAGGGGCGGATTTTGGAAATGTTCTAGAGGTTGAGGCAGCAGGATTTAGCCAGTGAGTGGATGTGGGGCCCAAAGGAGAGGTCAAAGTCTAGGATTTCGCCTAGCACCCTGGCATGAGGGGAAGGACTAATGGTTGTGCTGTTGATCTTAATGGTAAAGTTGTGAGTGGGGGATCGGGAGGGAGGAAATATTACAAGCTCAGTTTTGGAAAGATTGAGGTTAAGGTAGTGGTGTGACATCCATGCTGATATGTCGCTTAGTAGATTTGCGATATGTGAGGAGATTGAGGGGGTAAGCTGGGGAGTGGAGAGATAGATCTTGGTGTCATCAGCATAGAAGTGGTATTGGAAGCCATGGGAGGTTATCAGTTGGCCCAGGGAGGAGGTGTAGAGAGAGAAAAGGAGAGGCCCAAGGACAGAACCTTGGTGTACCCAACAGAAAGAGGGAGAGGAGCGGAGGAGGAGGAGATGTATGCTACACTGAAAGTGCGCTGAGAAAGGTAAGAGGAGAACCAGGAGAGAGCGGAGTCACGGAGGCAAATGGAGTGAAGTTTACTGAGGAGGAGCAGGTGGTCGACTGTGTCGAAGGCAACAGAAAGGTCAAGGAGTATGAGTATGGAGTAATGGCCATTGGTTTTAGCAGTTAGTAGGTCATTAGTGAGTTTTAGTAGGGCAGTTTCTGTGGAATGTTGTGGGCGGAAGCTAGACTGTCGGGGATCAAGAAGGTTGTTGTCAGTGAGGTAGCAGTTCATACGGTTGTGAACAAGGTGCTCGAGAAGCTTGGAGGCAAATGGGAGCAGAGAGATGGGTTTTAAGTTATTCAAACAGGTGGGGTCCAGCGAGGGTTTTTTGAGTATGGGGGTAACCAGTGCATGTTTGAGTGGGGAGGGAAAGGTGCCCATGGAGAGTGAGAGGTTGAAGATGTGGGTTAGAGAGTTTAGGATAGAGCAGGAAGGAGGCTTCAACAGTCGTGAGTGGACAGGGTCTAGGGGACAGGTGGTGAAGTGGGCCTTGGAAAGGAGTTGGGTAACTTCCTCGGTGGTAACAGGGTCGAAGGAGGAGAGTGTTGAGTGTGGTGTTGGGCCTGGTATGTTGGTTGAAGGAAGAAGCTTGACACTGGAGATCTCATCACGAATTGTGTCGATCTTCTTCTTGAAATGACTGGCAATCTCCTGTCCAGTATGTAAGTTGGTAGGTGGAGGCAGTGGGGGGTGGAGTAAGGAATTAAGGGTAGAAAAGAGTTGACGAGGATTGGATGAGAGGATCTTGTTGAGAATATTGTAGTGGGTTTGCTTAGCATCGTGGAGGCCGGAGTTGTATTTGAGAAGAGCGGATTTGTAGAGGGTCAAGTCTTTCAGGGATTTAGTTTTATGCCATGCTCACTCAAGAGTGCTGTTGCACCTCTTGAGACTTCTGGTGTCATCTGTTTGCCAGGGTTGTGATAGGCGAGGCCTAGTTCTGCGTGTAGAGAGAGGAGCAAAAGCATCCAGGGGGAAGATGATAGATAGTAGTTGTAGGCAGATGTGGCCAGTTCTGGGCAGGACAGGGGTGCAATATTATCACAGAGGCACTCAGTAGCAGAGTGAAGAAGGTCAGCGCTGAGTTGGTAGAGGTTTCTACAGGTAACGGGTTGCTGGTTGGAGGCATGGGAGGTAGGAGGCAGGGAGAGTGTGAAGCTGATAAAGTTGTGATCAGAGAGAAGAAAAGGGGTGTTACAGAGGTTACAGGGAGTGCATAAGTGGGAGAATACAAGGTCGAGGGTGTTGCCATTGGAGTGGGTGGTGGATTGTGACCATTGTGTTAGGTTAAAAGAGGAAGTTAGGTTGAGTAGTTGAGAGGTGGCAGGGGTGTGAACATTGACTAGGATGTTAAAGTCACCAAGGATGATGGCAGGCACCTCAGAGGAGAGAAAGTATGGCAGTCATGCTGAAAAGTCATCAAGAAAGTGTGAAACTGGGCCCAGGGGCCGGTAGATGACTGTGATCTCAGACAAACAGGAGAAAAGAGACGAATACAGTGCACTTCAAAATAGCAGAGGGACAGAGAGGGAGGTGTAGGAAAAACCTGGAACATGCTTTGTGGGGAAAAGGGAATTCCGACTCTTCCCCCTTTTCATCCACTCGGTCTGGGCGAGTGAGTCCAGAGGAGGCCCCCATGGGAGATTGCAGCTGAGGAGACAGAGTCGGAATCCTGAAGCCAGGTTTCAGCAATAGCAAGTAGGTTGAGTGAGTGGGAGAGGAAGAGGTCCATGATAGTAGCAAGTTTGTTAGAGGCTGAGCGGGCATTCCAGAGGGCACATAGTGGGGAGGGGCCGGCACATGGAAGCGGCTGTGGCCAGAGAGGGGAGACTGCTGCTTCTGTGGGTTGGAGTTTGATGGTGGAGGGCCAGGGTTTGGAGCGATGTCTCCAGAAGTTAGTAGTAGTAGGAGGGTGAGGGAGGTGAGGTGGGAGCGGGATTTATATGAGGGCAAATGCCGCAGTGATTTTGTAGCGGTGACATTATGTGGACCAAGAGAGACCAGGGGATAAGTGTAATGATATTGAGAGGGCAGAAGTGAGGGTGATATGTACAGGTTGTGTGGTGGGGAGGGGGGGGGGGGGGGTAAACAAGAGAGAGTTTGAGAAGAGAGGGAATTATAGCAACAAAGAGAGTTAGCAAGAGCATGCTGGAGAGAGGAGAGATAACAAAGGTAGGCTGAGGGAAAGAGGTAAGAGAGGGAAGAGCACTTACAGACTACTTGGGGTGGAGCACTAATGTTTGTACTTGCCTTAGTCAAAGTGCCGTGTTTAAAGTGCCATGTACTTAGCGCTGTAATGACACTTTGCGCAGGGAATGCCAGCCTGTCCCCTCGCCAGCCGTCCCAAGGACTGTACTGTTGAAATATACTGTTGAAATGCGTTTTCTATATATTACAAACTATATATGAAAAATATTTTTAAAAATATTTTGTTTTAAATATATTGTTCAGATTTTTAAAAAAAAATTTAAAAAAGCCATTTTAACATATATTTTTAAATAAATTTGTAAATCCATTCCAAAAATGTAGATTTGTATTTTTAAAGACATACAATATATTTGAAAATTTATTTTTAAAAAAATATTTTTCATGTATTTTGTAAAAAAAAATGCATTTCAACATACAGTGTATGTATATGTGTGTGTGTGTGTGTGTGTATGTGTATATGTATATGTGTATATATATATATATATATATATATATATATATATATATTATATATATATATATATATATATGAGTATAAATATATATATATATTTAAATATATTGAATATGGCCAAAATTGTAGTATTTCAAAAATATGCCAATATATTTGGACAGAATATTTATAAAATATATTTCAAAATAAATGTGCACAGCTTCTTGAAGTATATCTAAAAATGTTTTTTTTTAGTTTTGGATTAGAACATCTTTCATGCTTTTACAGCTATCTAGCACAGGGTTTCTCAACCAGGGTCCCCTGGAAGCCTAGGGTTCCTAGGGGTTCCATGAGCAATTTCTGTCTCTCAGATAAGTTCCTACAGACACCGTTGATCTTAAGGAGGTAATGCTTCCCAATGACCACAAGTATTAGAAGCATTCTTCCCACTGACCATCACACTAATGTATCATGAGTTGTAGATATAGTCATTTTTAGCAGGGGTTCCTTGAGACCAGAAAGTGATTTCAAGGGTTCTTCTGTGTTGAAAAGGTGGAGAAAGGCTGATTTAGGGGCTCCGTTAGAGAGGGGATATCTTCAACAGGGATAAAGAGCAAAGAAGGTCTGGTGGGGGTTCTAGTCTCCTCCTTCTTTACTAAAGGAAAGCATTTTTATTTCTGTCTGTGTTGCTTTTGTTCCTGTTTGGCAAAAAGTCAGTAGGACAGGAAACGAGAGAAAATCTCAACATAGCAAAAAAAAAAAAAAAAAACAAGCTGGGTTCTAACCCTTCATGCCTCTGTCCAAAACTAGGAAAATACAATTTGTGTACTTATCATAAAAAAAATTTTTCTGTGAGTCTATTAAGGGATACAGGAATTTAGTAATAGTCAGGTAATACTGAGGCCTATAGGAGGTTGGAGAGTTGGGACACTAAAGCCGGCCATACATGGGTCAAGTTCCGAAAGAATTCAAAGTATTTTCGTTCGAATTGCACACCATTAGTGGGTCACAGAAACAGCCAATTTTCGTGTGACCATCGAATTTGAGTAATTGGGCACGTTGGAATTTTTTTGAAAAACGAACAAATTTCTAATCAATGATGGGAGAATTGTGCGGGAAATATAAACAAAAGAGAAGTGAGCGTGAGCTGTGACCCGGAAAGAAAAGAAAATTATTGGCCACGGAAATTCTTCTCTGTAGCAACATGAGGGGAAATTAAAGGCTGGTTGGTTGAATTTCGAAATCAATGGTGGCACCATCGGGTTAAAAAACACACAAAATTCCCATTTTCTAAAGAAAATTCGTTAGGAGTTCAACCCATGTATGGCCAGCATAAGAAAAAGAAAAAATTGTAAGCCAACTCCCATATATACTCTTCCTAGACCCAGCATCTCTCCGTTTTGTGCCAATGCAGTGCACAAGGCCAAAAGAAAGCACAGAGGGTTGGGACCCATGTCTCTCAATGGATTTAAAAGGATTTAAAAAACAGATCTGAAAGTGGTTGTGAAGGCTGGAGGTTTTTACCCCCCCCCCCCAGCCTTCTCCCCCAATCCTTACCTGAGCCCCCTCCAATCCAGTGACGTTCTCGACATCTTCTGCTGTTTGGGGACTCTTCTGCCTCATTGGCTGAGATGGCAGTGGGAGCCTACTGGCTGATGTCAATCACAGCCAGTGAGCCAATGAGGAAAGGGGGGGGGGGGGTGGATGCATAGAGCAGCGGCTCAGGGACAAGCAGGCAGGGGGAGGAGCCAGGAGAGCTGGTGGGGACCCGAAAAGAAGAGGATCAGGGCTGCTCTGTCGCTGCACAGAGAAGGTAAATATAGACGTGTTTGTTATTTGTTTTTTTTTTAAGAACTGAAGCTTAATGCCAGCCATACATGGGTCGAAATTCGACCGATTTTGCGTCCGAAAATCAGACCTAAGAATAATCGTCTGATTTTCGCTCTGTTAGTGGGTCAATGGCACTGGCCGATCTTGTGGTTCCTCCCCTTTTCGGTGATAGGGCATGTTGGAAAATTCGTGAAAAACAACCGATTTTTGACTCAATGCTGGTCAAATCGTACGATCGTTTTTCCAAAAAGAATATGCGCACGAGCCATGACCTGGAAGGAACAGAAGTTTCGCCTGTCTTATGGGGTGAACTTTGACTTGGTCGGTCGATTTTCTAAATCATTGATGGCACCATCGGCTTACCGAGCGAACAATGTTTTCGATTTTCGGATAAACAATTGTTCGGAATTCAACCCATGTATGGCCTGCATTAGTGTCACTTTAAATTAAGTGTAAAACTTTTCACCATTGTCCATTTATGGACACAGGGATTTCATAACAGTTGGGGCGTCCAAAAGTAGTCCACCTGAGGAGTGGCAATAGCCACAAAGAAACCCAAAAGGAAGTTGGGAACCCATCCTATTGCAGAGTAATCTGAATATCGAATGGCTGAACTAAGGCTAGATGTTGTGAATCCCTCACCCAGACAGGGGCAACTGCCATAACCTAGAGGAGAGCACTAAGGGTCAACCTTCTCCTCCAGACCAGGACACTTAAAAAAAACACCCCTTATAGGGTAGGCATTCACCTGAAAGAACATTGGACCTAAATATGCAAGAGAGTGGAGGGCCAACCTACAATTCCACCAAAAGATAAAAACTGAAGGAATAAAATACTACCTGAACAGAAGGAAATCAGACCAACAACTAGAAGCAGTCAACATTAACTATTCATTGGGCCAAATCCAAGGAAAAAACATGTCTCTGGAGGCAAGTGTGAATGACAAGCAAGCAGGGGCGGCCTGACAACTCATAGGGCCCACGGGCAATAGGGGGATCATGAGACCCCTGTGTCCTTGCCCAAACTCAAAGAAGCCTATGAAAAAAGTACCAGGGGCATCTCATGGGGCTCCCTACTGGCCCCTGGGCAGTGCCTGAGTTTCCAAATGGTCAGTCCGTCCCTGCAAGCAAGTTGAAAAGAGAAGGCCAGTTGGTCAACTGAAAAAGGTCCAAGCTTAGCACTCTTAACCTTTTACTGTTTGCCAGTGTCCTGACCTCCTACAGGCAGCAGTATAACCTCATTGTTACTGAACTTCCGCGTCCCTCAACGAACGATGGAGAAAGACGCTGTTATCTTTACATACACTTCAACTCCATCCCCCCTCCTATCCTTAACTCTTAATCTAAGCATTAAGCTCACCCCTTAACTTTTACCCTGATTAAATTCCTCATTGTTTCTATTGCTGATTTAGAAAGTGAGTGCCATGATTTTAGGTCTTCTTGACTGAATACTTTATCTTTTCATAGGCTCGTCGGATTTTGGATCTCTCCCCAGTGCAGGAGTTGGTCAACAGAAAATGGCAGAGGTTTGGTCGGCCATATTTCTGGACATTGGCCTTTATCTACATCCTTTACATGATCATTGTCTCTCTTGCCTGTGCCAACCGCCCCCTTAAACCAAGAACAGAGAACGCAACTAATGCAAGGGACATCATCTTACTGGTCCAAAAATCCCTAAATGTAAGCACCTTAACCATTTTTCTATCAGGGCTTTTTTTTTACTTTTTCACACACAAAATATACACAAAATTACTTTAACCACCTTCCGCCCGCCCTATAGTACAAAGACGGGCGCAAGGTGGTTTCTCTCGTTCTGATAGGACGTCATATGATGTCCTACCATTCTCACTGTGCATGCGCGGCTCAGGGAGCGCACAGCGCGGTGATCGCCGTGTCCGGAAAGCGGATCACGGAAAGAGCTGAAGATGTCGGCTCGGTCATGTGATCAGCTGTGTCCAATCACAGCTGATCACATGTAAACACGGAAATGCTGATTATCGGCATTTCTCTCCTCTCGAGGTGTCACGCTGACAGCTCAAGAGGAGAGGAGAGCCGGTAATCGGCTTTCCGCGGAGGGGACATGTACACTGATCATCAGGGCACTGATGATCAGTGTGCCCTGATGATCAGTGTGGCCCCAGAAGTGCCACCTGTCAGTGCTCATCAGTGCCAGTGCCCATCAGTGCCACGTGCCAGTGCCCATCAGTGCCACATATCAGTGCATACCAGTGCACATCAATGCCACATATCAATGCATACCAGTGCACATCAATGCCACATATCGGTGCCCATCTGAGCTGCCTTTCAATGTCACCCGTCAGTGCCACCTATCAATGCCAATCAGTGCCACCTATCAGTGCCAGTCAGTGTTGCCTATCAGTGCCAGTCAGTGCCACATGTCAGTGCCAGTCAGTGCCGCCTATCAGTGCCAGTCGTGCCGCCTATCAGTGCCAGTCAGTGCTGCCTATCAGTGCCATATATCAGTGTCATGTATCAGTGTCATGTATCAGTGCTGCCTTTCAGTGCCCATCAGTGATGCCTGTCAATGTCCATCAGTGCAACCTACCAGTGCCTCCTCATCAGTGCCCATCAGTGTCACCTATCAGTGCCCATCACTGCAGCCTCATTAGCGCACATCAGTGAAGGAGAAAAATCATTTATTTACAAAATTGTATAACAAAAAACTAAGAAAAAACATTTTTTTTTTTTCAAAATTTTCAGTGGTTTTTGGTTTGTTTAAGAAAAAATAAAAATCCCAGAGGTGATTAAATACCACCAAAAGAAAGCTATATCTGTCTCAAAAAAATTATAAAAATTTCATATGGGTACAATGTTGCATGACCGCGCAATTGTCATTCAAAGTGTGACAGCGCTGAAAGCTGGAAATTGGCCTGGACAGGAAGGGGGTATAAGTGCCCTGTAGGCTAGCGTTTAAACCGCCAAACAAATGAATATATTCTGAAAGCAGAGACAATGGAGAGTAAATTAGTGGCAGTTACAATTGTTTATGTTGAAAAATATTTGACCATCTGTTAATCAAATTCATTCTTTTTAAAGAAAAATACACTAAAAGGAATTTTAGGGAAACAACACAATATTATACATGATTTTTTTTTTTTTTGGTAAAATATAAAAGATGGGGTTGTGTAGAGTAAATAGATACCAAACAAGTCAAGCTTTAAAATTACATGCATCTGTAAAATTGCAAAAAAAATCTATGGTACCCAAAATTCTCCATAGGAAATGCTTTAAAGACCTTGAGCCGTCATGCACACTTGACGTTTTGATAATGCTGGCAACGTTAGCTGTGTAAAAAATATTTTAAAAACTTTTCGTGCCCCTACTAGAAAAGATGGGACTATTGGGACAGCAGCACACACCCGGCTATACCAGTAGCAAAAAAAACAACAAACAGAAAATTGATGTTGCGCTAATCACAATAATGCCACAGACATTCCAAAACAAATAATGAGATGATAATAGATAATACACCATAACATAATCAGTAAATGGAAGGAATATGGGAGTGAAGGGAAAGGTGAAATAATAAAGGTCCAAAATGAGGACCAAAAGGTGTAACCGACAATAAACCGTGACCGTGGGTAAAACTCACGGAATGATCAGGAAAAAATAAAATATTTACTAAATCACAGTAATAGTGGGACATAGGAGTCCGTCATAACATAAATGAAATAACGTGAATACAACTGATGAGAAAGTGGAGCAGAATGTGAAAAATACAAAATGAAGTGCTTAATAATAAAAGAGGACAAACCACTTATCACAGAAGAATGACAATAACAACGCACAGTGAGGCCAAAAAAATGTGACCATGCGACTAAAGAGTCATAACATAATATGCATCAAATGGCCATGTGACATAAAACAACTAATAAGTGACCATATAAATACCATAAATAAATGTGGCAAACATATATAGAGTGCAACTAGTATAAAACAGAAAATGGAGACACAAACGCACAGTGAAGCCAAATGAATGTATTACTGTGCAACGTAAAATACAATAACACAATGAAGAAATAAATAACATGTCACTAAAAAAAAATAGCATACATGCGACATAAAGTCCATGTGCAAAAAAGTCCAACAAAAACATCCAAAAAAAAACAAACAACATTGTGGATAAGTAAATGATTAGTGAATCTCACACTGGCTAAAATGCCTCCTCACCTCCGCACCCAGACCCCAAGGGGCCAAAAGGCTTTCAGGACACTCACTGCAGGGGCCCTTTAAGTGGAATCCCAAACGGCGATGTAGGGATGATATCCCCCTCACTGGTGGACCATACTGTTCAGCGGTGGTAATATATCTTTCACCTTTGGACACGGAAATCTGCCAGCGCACAGAACTCCTGCCAGGGGTCCATTTCACCAGAAAAAACAGCCAGCTCACAGCATTCCCAGGGAGACAAGAAAAAAAAAAAGCGTTTTTTGCATTAGTGTTCAGCTGCGTTTTGTCGTGTTTAGAGGCGTTTTTTCCAGCCGCGTTTGCAATTTTTTTGGTTAAAAAAAAGTCCAAAAAAAAAAAAAAACGCCAGTTTGCGGCGTTTTACCACGTTTTGTTGCGTTTTTCAGCGTTAGAGTGTTTTTACAGCTAAAAAACTCCTCTAGTTCTGGGTTTTTTTTTTTTCCAGCCAAAAAACGTTCATTCCAGTCTATGTGTGTATGGACCCGTAGGATAACATGCTGGGGGGTCTGGGGAGAGCGGATATAGTGAATGCGGGGTCCAGGGAGAGCGGATATAGTGAATGCAGGGTCCTGGGAGACCAGATATAGTGAATGCAGGGTCCGGGGAAACCAGATATAGTAAATGCAGGGTCCGGGGGGAAGAGCGGATATAGTGAATGCAGGGTTCTGGGAGAGCGGATATAGTGAATGCAGGGTCCGGGGAGACCAGATATAGGGAATGCAGGGTCCGGGGAGAGCGGATATAGTGAATGCAGGGTCCGGGGAGAGCGGATATAGTGAATGCAGGGCCGGGGGTCCAGATATAGTGAATGCAGGGTCCGGAGTGCAGGGTCCGGGGAGAGCGGATATAGTGAATGCAGGGTCCAGGGAGAGCAGATATAGTGAATGCAGGGTCCGGGGTGAGCGGGCAGCTCCAGGAGACCGATATAGTGAATGCAGGGTCCGGGGAGAGAGTCCGGGGGATATAGTGAATGCAGGGTCCGGGGAGAGCGGATATAGTGAATGCAGGGTCCAGGGAGAGCAGATACAGTGAATGCAGGGTCCGGGGAGACCAGGATATAGTGAATGCAGGGTCCGGGGTGAGCGGATATAGTGAATGCAGGCTCCAGGGAGAACCAGATATAGTGAATGCAGGGTCCAGGGAGACCAGATATAGTGAATGCAGGCTCCGGGGAGACCAGATATAGTGAATGCAGGCTCCGGGGAGACCAGATATAGTGAATGCAGGGGGGGAGACCAGATATAGTGAATGAATGCAGGGCTCCAGGGAGACCAGATATAGTGAATGCAGGGTCCGGGGAGACCAGATATAGTGAATGCAGGCTCCAGGGAGACCAGATATAGTGAATGCAGGGTACGGGGAGACCGGATATAGTGAATGCAGGGTCTGGGGTTTAGTGATACTTTAATATTGACAAAATGTTTTCCCCAAAGTGTAGCTTTTAATGGTTTCGAGACAATAAAGTATTGTTTTTTCAAATGGTTTTCTCCTTAGTTTCTGTGGATGTCTTTATGCAGTTGACATTAAGTCCTCATACATACGGGATGTTTTTATAACGCTGGTAATGTTAGCTGTGTAAAGTCACGTTAAAAACTTGAGTTTTTCAGCTTTTTTTAGCGTTAATGCATTAGCGTTTAGTGGCTTTTTTCCATGATTAGCGGCGTTTTCCCACATTTTGTTCTGCGTTTTTTAGCCTTTTTTTGGTCAAAAAAAGTCCCAAAACGCTGTTTTCCAGGGTTTTACCGCGTTTTTCAGCATTAGTGTTTTTTTTCAGCTAAAAAACTCCTCTAGAAACCCACTAGTCCTGGGTTTGTTTTCCAGCCAAAAAACGATGCCAGTCTATGTGTGTATGGACACATAGGATAACATGCTGAGGGGTTTACTAGCTGTAGAAAAAGCATCAAAAGCCAAAAAACAGCCGCTGTAAAAACGTCCCGTGGGCATGAGGATTCATTTACTGCAGGCACTGCAATTCATTGTGGTGTGCAGTGAGGGATAGTTTACATGAACATTCCACAGAGTTGCGGCTCATTTTTCAGAGTCAACATTTTCTGCTGACTTTGCATTTCTCAGCTTCTACCAAAGCAGGGTGGCAGAATAGACTTGTCAAAAAATGGTCTTAGGCTCTCCTTTGATCTCCATAAGTGACACCCGCACTGCAAGTAATATATAGACCGCTGTTGTTGACTTCCTTCTTCCAATGATAGTTGCTTGATGGCCTCTGGCTTCAACACAATGCTTCTCGGCCTTTTGGCTAAGATCAAGTGTAGTATCTGTTCTTATCAGTGTCCAGTGGGGGTGCTCCCGGTCATTCTAGCTTTGCGGGGATGACTGTTGTATAGTACCCTCACTGGTATGATGGGGGTCTGGAAGGCTAGTACCGGGGGGATGAAAACTGGGATGCCCACAGGTAGCTGGGGCCTGGGAGTAATCCCCCCGAGGAGACCGGAAAGACCCAGTACCTCCTGATTTGGACGGATCTACCTTGTCTGGCCAGGGTCGGGAAGGCAGAGAGTCCGCAAACCAGTGCCCCCTGAGTAGTCGCCTCAGGGGTGCCACTAGTAACACCTGGGTGTGGGACCCCACTGTGTGAAGATGGCACATGGTCACTGATTTACCACTTTTTCTGCACAGCGCCCTTAGGACCAGGCCTTATGGCTAAGTTCAGGGCAATTTTTGCTACAGGCCTCAGGGCCTGGTCTGTGCACAATTTGGCACGACCACTTTTTTATTTTTTATTTATTTAATTTAACACCTCCCACGTCTTGTCACTTTTTCTTTGCTTATGTGTGTGTTTTCACAGGATGGAGGGTGTGGGTCCTCGGGCCTACCCTGAAGTCTAGGGGGGGGGGGGATGTGTGGCCTTTTGGTTCCTTCCTCCCCTGATCCCTAGGGGGCTTTCTCTTCGGGAGAGCCCCCTGACCAAGTACTGGGTGTCCGGCTTCGGCTGGACACAAGGAACGGTGGTCCACCAGACCAATTGGGAACCTTGTCCCTGTCAGGAGCTTCGTGCCCCGGGGGATCAGGGTAGCGGTCCAAGCCCCTTTAGGGGTAGGACACAAGCACACCCCAAGTGCACTTTTTCGTGTGGTGTTTTGCACTTGCACTTTTTTTGTGATTCACTTACGGGTTTTTTCGTTATAGTTGCACGTTTGCGGACTAAAAAAAAAAAAAAACTAGAATCAATTCTCCAAAAAGGGGCAGGCAGTCTGGCAGAGGGAAGGACTGGTCACCACCATTGCCTGTGATCTACCTGGAGCTAACCTTTCCTTATTACTGACTCACCATGCCTTGTCCTGCACCGTTAGAGTATATAGTATATTGCCAGCACACCACATATATTTAAGATAACGGCCAAACCTTTAGAGCAACAAAATGGAGATATCATGCTGATTTGTAGTCCAACTGTATTTCCTACATACCCATAACTGAAGGTCTTCGACCACGTTATTAGGTCCACCTTGCTAGTACCGGATTGGACCCCGTTTTGCCTTCAGAACTGACTTAATTCTTCATGGCATAGATTCAACAAGGTGTTGGAAACATTCCTCAGAGATTTTGGTCCATACTGACATGAGTTACTGTTGCCTTTCTATCATCTCGAACCAGTCTACTCATTCTCCTCCATCAACAAGGCATTTTCCTCCACACAACTGCCGCTCACTGGATATTTTCTCTTTTTCGGACCATTCTCTGTAAACCCTAGAGATGGTTGTGCATGAAAATCCCAGTAGATCAGCAGTTTTTGAAATACTAAGACCAGCCTGCCTGGCACCAACAACCATGCCACGTTCAAAGTCACTTAAATCCCCTTTCTTCCTCATTCTGATGCTCGGGTTTGAACTTCAGCAAGTCATCTTCACCACGTCTAGATGCCTAAATGCATTGAGTTGCTGCTATGTGATTGGCTGATTAGCGATTTGTGTTACCGAGCAATTGAACAGGTGTACCTAATAAAGTAGCCGATGAGTGTATATTCTGGCTTATGATGTAACCGGTCTCCAGCTGGTAGTTTCTTCAGCACCTGCTTACTTTTTATCATCTCCAGGAATGTGTTATATATGATTTCTTCTGCACTGTGTCCTTGTGTGAAGGCCGCCATCTTGGTAGACACAGGGATCTGCTTCCTGTATCACAACCTCCAGCAAGGAGAGCAATGAACAGCACAGTGGTGACATCACTGAATCTCATTCCGAATATCCTGAGAGTAGCAGCCAGGGGCAGTAGTGCCTTAGACCTCAAACTGCAGATATACAGCTATGATGTGGTAGGCACAGTACCTAGGCACACATACCAGGAAGTGTAATTATATGTTTCAGGAAGAATTCAAGACAAAAAAGTAGAAGTTTCTGGGTACTGTATGATCACAATTAACATTTATAGATGTTCCTTATGATCACAAAAATTTTTTGAAGAAAGGAAAAAGCTGTATTTTGGTAACAAAAGCTTAATTTACTTAAGGTAACAAAAATTAATTTAGTTCCACTTGAAAGCTGTACTCTGGGCAATTACCACTGCCAGTTGTTCCTTCTGCCTCCTCTGAAGGTTCCCTGGCAATATATTGTACACTGAGTACCATGATGAAGTCAGCACCACTTTCTGCACATACATATTGATTGTAGGGTGCTGTGGTGTTGCCCATGACCTTACAAGAAGACCTCAATAAAATAAAGGGGTGAGCAAATACACTGTTTAATGTTGAAAAATGTAAAGTAATGCACTTGGAGGATAAAAATATGAATGCAAGTTACTCGCTAGGGGCAGAACATCTGGGGGAATCCAAGATGGAAGAAGATCTCGGGGTTCTAGTAGATGACAGACTCAGCGATGGCAGGCAATGCCAAGCTGCAGGAAGCAATGCGAACAGAATTTTAGCATGCATAAAAAAGGGAATTTACTCGAGATAAAACTATAATCCTGATACTTTATCAAACTTGGCCACATCTAGAGTATGCTGTCCAGTCCTGGTCACCAGTCCTCAGGAAGGATGTGCTGGAACCGGAGAGAATCCAGAGAAGGGTAACAAAGCTATGGTGATTATTCAGTCTCAGGGGAGTGTAAGAAGACACGGGGTCACTCAATAAAACTGGAGGAGAAGCGGTTTAACCTTAAACTACGTAGGGGGGTTTTCACAGCCAGGGCAGTAAGGCTATGGAACTCACTTCCACAATCGGTGGTGTCAGTGGGATATTTTCAAAAAACTCTTAGATGGGCTTCCTAGTGAACAAAGTTTACAAGGAATATGATTTTTTAATCAGGTTGAACTGGATGGACTGGTGTCTTTTTTTCAACCTTACCAACTATGCAGTGGTGTATTTAGGTTTTGTGCTGCCCTGGACAACACAAAAAATCCAATGTCCACCACCCCACCGGCCGCCACCCACCAGCCCCCCCACCTGCGACCCACCCATCTCTGGGAGAGAAGGGGAGAGACTCACCATCATAGCTCCCCAGAATCCCGACTGCCTTCCCGAAGTCTCACAGCCACTCCCCCTGGCTCTCCTCACTCCGCTCCCCCACCTGTCACCCAGCTCCAGTGCCCCTCAGAACCTCCATGGTGTGACGCAGGACAACCAGAGTCCTATCTTCTGGAGGGCTGCGCCGCCCCTCTGAAAAATTCAGCCAAAGGCAAATGCCTTGTTTGCCTCACGGCAACCATGTAACTATGAATGCTTCCAATTCTTCCCGAAGTCTCACAGCCACTCCCCTGGCTCTCCTCACTCCGCTCCCCCACCTGCCACCCAGCCCCAGTGCCCCTCAGAACCTCCTTGGCGTGATGCAGGTAACCAGCGTCCTATCTTCTGGGGGGCTGCACCACCCCCCTGAAAAATTCAGCCAAAGGCAAATGCCTTGTTTGCCTCACAGCAACCATGTAACTATGAATGCTTCCAATTCAAGCCTGTTCTGTAGGAGAACGTGTTGCCCCCATTGAGTATTCACCATAATATTATCTTCTTCATCTCACCAGGAATCATACCTCACTTCTGAAGACCACCTCCGCCTGGCAGGAGAGATCATTAGTGTCATCGGGGCAATTGTACTTTTATTTCTCAAGGTAATCACAGAATTTATTGGCTAACATCTGTTTCTGTATTGGGTTTTCTCAAAGTGTTCTTATGGCCATAGGTGAGCAGTTGACTGTGGAGGATGAGGGTAATAAGAAATGTGGAAAGATCCTTGGTTTAGCTGCTTTACAATGTGGCACAAGCACAATGAAAGGGCCTTTTCTCCATAGGAAAAGGAACAGTAGGAATTCTAATACATAGAATGGGTAATTATTGTTTTAAAGCAGTATTAAACCCCAAACTAAAAATGTAATATATTACAGCTTTCCAGTCATTAGATGCGGTGGCTGCATTAGTTTTCTTTTTAAGGCTTTTCCTCCTCTGTTT